GACTGTACAATTGTTGTTATGCATATATAAATTCCATATTTGTATACAATTTCTCTTGTTGAATGTTATTCTTCTTCTTTATATATTCCTTCATATTTTATTTGTAAAGTAAAAAAAAATACTTAGTTTGAATCGAAATTCTCAAACCCGCTTTAAAACTTGTTAATTTCAATAAACTGGAGAAAGGTGCTAATCTGAGTATGGCAAAGACGGATGAATACTGTATAAGAAATCTGATAATATATATTACTATTATAATTTTGAGCGACTTTTTTCAAAGTTCAAGGTAATCGTCACAAAAAAGACTGAATTTATGATATTTATCCTGTTTTTAATTTCATGTCTATTTCATGTATTACCACTTAAAAAAAAAAAGGTTTTACTGAAAATTAGACGTTTTCGATTGGCAAATAATGAGATTTTGAAAAAAGGACAAAATAAATATTTCTCTATGATGCCATATCTACCATAATATCACAATTATTGTTATAGAAATGTCATTTTCCCAGGAAAAAAAGGGAGTGGTGTTTTTTAATCTCTTAAACAACTGGTATACAAAAAATGAGGAACATCAAATTGAAAGATAATTAAATTACTTACGATCCGTATCTTCAAAGACAACTAAGGGGCATTTCCCGCTCAGTTCCAAAGAACATCTTTTCAAGTTGCTCTTTCCCGCGTCTTGCATGATATGCATTCCAATCTGAAGTAAAACAATGCTTCCAGTGAAATGCAACGACATAAGGAAGGACTAGTAAGGTGCATTTCACAAAAATATACTTGCTTTCATGTTAATTTTTAAAATAATGATAATAGATCAGTAAAGTAAGATATTTCGGCATTTAAAAAAATATCACTTAGATAAATGGTAGTAATAATTTTCAAAAGGTAATTCTATGGATTTGCAAGGTAAAATTATACGAAAAAGAAAAACAAGTATTACACTTAACATTTTAAGCTTTAAGATAATTTATTTATTCAAATATGTTTTAACTTCACAATCACAATTTGAAGAAAAATCTGAATAACGACGCTGATGTGGAAATTTTATAGTTGACTATTATGGAATTATAAAATGAATTTATTCTTGTATATATTTAATTATCAAATTAATGTTATGATTGTGATTCTTTTTTAAGAGTTGGAATATTTAACTAACCACGTTTTCAATTTTATATCTAAAAATGATGTAACATAAGATTACCTCAGTTGAACCTGTGAAAGAGACTTTGTTAATCTCGGGGTGATTAGAGATATACTGTCCACAGATTTTGCCATAACCAGGAACAACATTTACAACGCCTGGTGGAAAGCCGGCCTGAAATTTTAAAAAATCATAATTAATTTATGAGATTGAAACAAATGAAGCATTTAGAGAAACTTTACTCGTATTGTTATGCTTGTTTTCTGTGCAGAAATGAAACAAAACAACAGAAATAAAAAAAATGTCCACATGCAACGTGATATTTTAGCATCCCGCTACCACTTTTTTTATCAATATCAATTTTCGTACAAAAAGTGGATAACAGAATTCAAAAAATTTTTTGAAAGCCTCAACTTAAATTGGTCACTTATTTAAAAATGGAACCGAATAACATCGACCTTTTTTCTTGACCTGACCAAAAAATAATTCCATTTGCATTCTGTCAAGCCTCTTTGAGCCTAACACGGTCAAAGTTAGCAATAAATATGAAACGTCTTTCATCTTCGACGTTGAGCCAGGTGAGAAGTCTATGCTGCTGACGTTTCGGTTCTTTAGTCGAGCAGAACCGAAATTAACGAATATCAGGCAAGAAATCAAAGGAATGCGACAATGACAGGAGCCAAGATCAACCGCGATAAAATTGGGTTCGTGGAAGGAGATTATCGGGGAGATTATCGTGGAAGGGTGATTATCTTTCCGACCTTTCCTCTGGACGGACGGGCCAAAAAGATACTTATACTTAACATAAAGTTCGGTCCCAACCTGAAAGTTGGAAATGAATTGGTCGGAGGTGCGAGAGAAGGCCAAAGTCGCAGTTCGTCTGTGGACTCGGAGGAATCTTTCCTTGAATGGAGGGAGGAAATATTTAGCCTCGCACATCTACCCGATTCTCCTTTACCGACTCTCTTTTGGATCCAAGTCCGTCTGACACTTTATTGGCGTTTGTAATTCTCTTGTTCTCCCACAGTGGGGAGGCAAGGCCGCCATGGCTAATCGCGAATCTAATAAAATATGGGAAGTCTGATGGCGGTCTTCCCAACATACGCTTCGCATTTATTTTCAAGACCGGATGTTTCAAATGGATGAGAACATCAAGAATTTGGAAGGAAGACACCCGTAAAATTCCATCCTTGAAAATGTGCGCTTGTGTGAGGAGGAGGCCGGCTGACTTTAAGGCGAAATAAATTTTCTATCGTGAATGTCGGCTTGCCCTCAAGCGACTCTTACGAGCAGATTGATGGCCTCTCCGACATCCAGCTGTTGTCCCGTAAGGCATTATATCAGGTGTTAATTAGGGGAACGTTCAGGATGCCTTGATAGGCGATTATGTCTTACGAAGATCCATAGGCTCGCTGCATATGGCCTTAATTAATAGCCCGGGCTGAAATGTTTCACTAACACTGAGGTATCACTCACCTGACTGATAATTCGAGGGGCCCTCTGGCTCGCCAAAGGACTTTGTTCGGTGAGTTTGGTAAAGTTGGTGTTCCTTTGCTTACTGAGGGTTATGGGAGTCGAATGTTTTATGTTTTTAAAGTCCCACATTGATTTCGTCCAGTTAACTGATGTTTCTGCCACAGTCAGGGCTGGGGGGTGGGGTACTACTACCAAAATGTTTGTTTAGTTTCTTGTATATAGTTTTATACACATATGTACATCATCATTGGGTTTTTTTAGACTTTTAAATTGTTATTTTTATCCCCTCTCCGCACAGACAATGAATGGTAAATATGGGGACTAGTTTAGGACGTCATAGAATTTCTGAGGCATTATGGTGGTTGAAGTAAGAATGGCAAGTAAGAATGTGTTGTTTTAGTGAAAGGAATATTGTTTGTATGTCTGGGTCAGTGATTGTGACTAAGTTTAATCTTAAGACAGATGATGACCGTCCTTTTCACCATTTCCCCTTTTTGGCCTTGTGCCGCATTTGTACATTTCACGTACAATAAATATCGTGAGCCGATCGGAATCCTTTGAACTCGTCACACAGTTCCAGGCTTTACGTTAAAGTTCCTTAACATGATTTCAGCCTGAGAGAACACTCACTCACACAGTAATATTTTATCACGAACAATCAACTCAAGTTTTCCACATTCAACTTGATGCAAGAATTCAATCTTTGTCATACGCTTTCAAGCTCAACGTTAATTATTGCAATTGACATAAACACAGCTTGTTAAGAACTACTTACCCAAACTAGAATATTCTCTTCGAACAAGTGAAAACAAATCAAAGAGCGACAATTCCGTAAACTTTAAAGTCGTGAACAATATTTCTCTACTTTAAGTACAAACTTGAACTGTTTATTTTTCCTTAAATTACAATAATACCCAAACACACTTTCTCATTATTGTACAGACCATTCAACAACTTATAATCAATTAAACCAGAACTTTGATAACTTTTCAATCTAAACATAAAAGGACGTTTGAACTTTTTTAGACAACCTCTTTACTCCAGTTGTTTGTACCTCTTTGTTATATAAATAATTTATTCATTGTTGTGCAAAAACTCTTGTTTCTCATGTTTGTTCTGATTCTATGTTTGTTGAATACTAAACTTTAATGTGAGAGGAAATTGTTAATTTCAACACACAGCCTAATTTACTCAACAATTTTTGATCCATATAATTTAATCAATTAACACAACCTCCACAATATCATTCATAGCCATATTTTCAAATATTACTTTTCAATTTTCGTTTTTTTGTTTTTTGTTTTTTGTTTTTTTTAGAAAAATCCACACGGGACATCCTTATTGTAACTACTTCTCTCAAATATTCAGGGAATCTCCCCCACCACTCCTTAATTTAGGCCGCGAACATCCAAGGACAAAGCGTTTCATTACTGATAATTATTAAAAATTATTTTTAAAATTCCACCTACCCCTTTTATTTCAACCATGTCGTCTATTTCAAATTCAACCGTAAGTTTATCATCGTTGTTATATGTCGTCTCAAAATCCTTCTAATTATTTTATATTGATTTAGCAACTCACTGTTATAAAAACGTATTTATCTTTATGTATTTCTTCGTTCCAATGTATTATCTGACCACTAAAGTAGATCCCCTGGTGAGGATCGAACACATTACAAATGGACTGTATGTCTAACCTACCAGTCATATCCAAATATCTTTTATATATATATATATATATATATATATATATATGTGTGTGTGTGTGTGTGTGTGTGTGTGTGTGTGTGTGGATAACCTTAATCTAGCATAGTGAGGAGAATTGAAGTCAACAATGCAAACTAACTTACAATCGCACCCAATACCACACTATCGATTTGGATTAACAAATCGGCAACAGTAAAGGGAGGTATTTAAGTTATGGCAAAAATAATTTGATGTTTTCAGAAGTGAATTTTTCTTAAATAAAATAATTGATATTTTTGTTATTAAGACCATATTTATTGATAAGGGAGGAAACCAAACTATACCTCCTTAATGAGTGAAGCACAGTAAAGCGCAGTTAGGGGTGTTTGTTCGGCTGGTTTCACAATCATGCAATTACCACAGGCAAGAGCAGGAGCCATCTTCCAAGTCATCATCAACATTGGATAATTCCACTGGAAAAATAAAGCGAGAAATATTATATTATTTGATTATTTATTAGGAAAACATTTTTTTTTTCATTTTAAATGTTTCTAATATTTTAAATACAGTTTTGAAAAGGAGATTATTGTAGCCGATTTCGAGATTATGTTTAAATCAGGACTATTTCTTAAAAATGCTTAAAATAATCTTGTAACATTAAACAATGTTATTTAAACATTTTAAAAATAATTATTTTAAAATGAAAAAATACTTTCTCAAATACCAGAAGAAAATAACATGTGCAAAAGAACAATGGGGATAAAAAAAATCTAATGAAAATAGACTTACAGGAATGAGGAGACCACAGATGCCAACAGGTTCATATCTGGTATAGCAAAAAAAATCCCCATCTAATAAAAAATGAAAGCAAATAGTACAAGATATTAATCAGCATTCTTTAAAATAAGACTTTTACTAAAGATTCTACATTGCCGACTATATATTAAGAGAGATTTCAGAACTTTTTATAATATTTTGCCAGCTAGTGTAGCTAGTGTTTTTGCCGCCCGGGGCGGCCCTCCCCAGAAAAAATACAATATTACAATGCACATCAACCTCTCATAGAGCGATACAGCAGAACAGCACACACCTTAAACCCCCTTCAAAAAGGACAAATAGTGGCACTACAACGACCAACAACCCGCCGATGGGACACAACAGGTCAGGTCATTGAAACCCTCCCCAACCACCAATACCGTATAAGAGTTGATGGATCAGGTAGAATTACCTTACGAAATCGCCGATTCATCAGGAAACTGGATACACCTACAATTCCAGTTCCCAGACCTAGTGCCTTACCTGAGACCCCTACACTAGTTCCACAAACATTCGACGCTGGAATAACATCAAACGCAGCTCAGTCGTCTACAACAACACGGACAAAAACCCCTCGGGCATTGTCCAGACTACTTCCGCACAACCAGCTAGGTTTAAAGGAACTCATCCCTCCCCAAAGGCCACTACCCACACGCGATGGGGGGGGGAGATGTAGAATAACAATAATAAACAGCACTTACCGGCGTAAGGGTCCCAGCTAGCGTCCAGCTGGCAGACAAAAATAAAGCAGGTTGTAACTCAATACAAACCCGCAAACTAACTAATGAATCAAGCTGGTATTTATACAGAAATACCTCCACTCAAGTACCAGCAGCCAATCACAGCCCAAGCAATGGACTATCCCACTTTAGCACAATGAGATGCTCCATGGCACCATAAATAGCTCTCTTAAGGTTGAGTTATGATTCACTCAGCTTGTTCCACAACTGAGTATTTATCTTGACCATGTGATTGTTCGATATATATATATATATATATATATATGTATATATATACCCAAGTATATTATTGGTGTATACCTAATAAATTCCAATAACCAACAATTACTATTCTTAAAAGAGTGCTCAATACAGAGTAGAAGATATAATTATTTATTTAAAAATTATTACATAAATATGTTATAAAATCACTACAAAATAGCTATTTTGTTTTAACACCTCCGGTGTTTTATCAAGTGATGCATATATATATATATATATATATATATATATATATATATATATATATATATATATAATTTTATAAATATATTATATTGACCGATCGATCGAGAATCGGTCGATATAGCGATCTTCAAGAAGTTTAAAACAATAAAATCTACCTTGCTAATCGAACGATTCTCTGTGCCTCGATCGGTTAAGGCACGTCAGGCTAAATGATGGTTCCGTATAAGATACAGGTTCGATTCCTGTCGGAGAACGAATATTTTCTATGAACATTTCTCGGACATTCAGGCCGGTAAATGTTATTAATACTGTTTATTATAAAAATAGAGCATTTACTTAAATATTTGTATCTATAAAAAGAATGTAAAAAACAAAAAAATCTTAAATATAATATATATATATATATATATATATATATATATATATATATATATATATATATATATTTATAAAAACGAAAATTATTTTTAATTTTTTTTATTTTTTTTCCAGTTTGTGAATCTAAATGCCCGTATGATGCCAAACTTTTTTTTTCCGTATTTTGTTAATTTGGTATTTATAACTAAATTGATAAATTATGAAATTCCAATGTTGTTTATTTATTTATTTATTTATTTATTTAAATAAAAAAAAATAGGAAATATGTAAAAAAAAAAAAACGTTACTTCTTTTAAATTTTATAAAATTAAAAAAGAAAATTTGGTTTTTTTATCCTCTGTCCTTTGTTAAAAAAAAAAAAAAAAAAAAACAAAAAAACATTATTTTAATTTTTTAATTATAATTATATCATTTTTTTATATATTTATTTTAATTCTAACAAGTGAGGAGTCATAAATGCCAAAATAAAAGAAAAAAATTGTTCGTTTTTTTTTTAACAATGTAAAAAAATTAGTTCAAAGTTTTTTGCTATGTTTACGTAGTTGAAATTTTTTGATTAAAAAAAAAAAATTTTTGCTGTTTAAAAGTCTGATAAAAAACGAAAAAATTTAAAAAAAAATAATATTATCATATCTTTTAATTCTTAGTCTATTTTGGATAATAAAAAAAATTCAATTTTTCAAAAAAAAAAATAAAAAATTGCATTATTTTAATACTGTGAAAACTTTGTAAATTGATAAAAAATGTCCATTTTTTAACTTTTAAATAAAATTTGAATTTTTGAGAAAAAATTTTTTCTTTTTTTCAAATTTCCTTTTAAATTTCCGTTCGATATTTCCAAAAAAATTGGAATACATGTAAAGCATTAGAATTATTTCTATTTATCTTTATTTTATTATTGTATGAAATCTGAATTCATTTTTTATACTAAAGTAAATAAAGCTATGACCTATTAAAATTAATTTTTTTAGTTTTTTTGTTTTGTTTTTTTTTAAATTAATAAAAAATTCATTAAGCAAATTATCATTTTATTTTATAAATTTAAAATTTTAAGAGTGTGTTATACATTAGTAAAGAGGCGTGAAATTTAAATAAAATAAGAGAAGGAAGTTTTAGAAGAAAAGATTTATTTAAAAATTTTCAACTTACAGTTTTATTCCACATTTTTAACAAAAAAAAAGAAAATTTTTGTATGTCTGAACTTCTCCAAAAGTGTGTTTAAATTGTGCATTCATTTTAAATATATAAATTTCAAAACCTATTTTGTAGCCTTTTAAAAAAAAAAAATTTTTTTACACTTTTTGCTCAAGTCTTGTAAATATTTTATCTTCACATAACATAACGTTTTGAAATATAAAAAATATTACTGGCTTTTTTTTTTTGAATCCATATCAAAAAAAAAATTTTTTTTCATTTTATTTTTTTTTCTTCCTTAATGCATATTTTAAAAATATTTTTTTTTTTTTTTTTAATTAAAAATTAATTTAAATTTTTTTTTTTTTTTTTTTTTTTATATCAAATCAAAAATTTAAGAATTTTGGACATATCAAATCATCCATTAATAGCTATGCCATGATTTTTGCTTTTTTTATAATAATTTTGATGAATGTTTTCTTGAATTTTCAGATGAAATTGAATGTTCAAAATAAGACTCAAAAAAAATATCAATCAAGAATCATTAAATAATTTTTTTAAAAATTCCCGTTTTTAACATATATATTTTGATGTAAAATGATAATATTAACATGTTAAAAATTATTTTAATCAATGAATTGAGTTTCATTTAAAAACTAAAATCATCTCTGAATTTTTAAATGAAATTTTAAAATTGTTAATGAATTTGCTTTAAAATTTTTTTTTTTATCATTTGAGTCTTTGTTCATGGACATTTCACTGACAAGGCCAATCCACTTTTCTATAATTGCAACATGACTGTGATTTTTATTTGTCAATCTTTAAATTTTCATTTAGAATTTTTATTTTTTTTTTAACTGGAATTCTATTCTTTAAAAACTTTTGTAATTCAAAATTTTATATATTCATATCAGATTAAAAGCCTTCAAAAATATATAAATGATAAAAAAAATTCTAAAAAAAATCCTATTAATCTATAAGTAAATATTATATTATTATTGACAAGTTATCTTCAAATTATATATATAATATATTTACCGATCATTTGTATGTTTTCACCCATGTTTTTTATTAATCCAGCGTAATAACGCAATATTTTTACATGGATATATGTCTTGGTATATTCATTTTTTTATGGTTTGAATGTGTCCATTGTTTCTATTAAAATCTGAAAAAAAGTAAAATGATTAATTAAACACAATCATACAAAAAAAATATTTTGATTATATGGTTTGTTTGTGTGTATATTTGTGTTGTGTGTGTGTGTGTGTATATCTTGTTTTATCAACCATCCCTCTCTTTTCTATATATATATATATATGTGTGTGTGTGTGTGTTTGTGTATAAATTAATGCATTATGTAAATGTTGAAAAATATATATATTTAATTATTATGTTTCATAAAAGTTAAAATTATGATATTTAAACTTCCCAAAAAGGTAACTGAGAATAAATTATAAAATAAAAATAGATATTTAAAAAAAATTAGTATTTTCCAAAAGAATTCTACACATCTACACATTATAAAAATATATGATTATTCAATAAAACACAATTCATCTTCGATTATTGAGAATCGATGAAACCATCAAATAATGTTTCAAAAAGATGGGGATTAATTAGCTTGAAGAAATGAAAAATTTAGAAACGTTGCACAAAATTCACAAAAATCAAAAATAACATTAGTAATTTTTAAAGTTTTTTTCTTTTACCGAACAGCCAATGTTCCTTTTTTTTTTGATTAAATTTTTTAAAAAAACACTCTTAAATAACATGTTATTTTCATAAAAATTAAAAAATCAAAATCATAAAGATGTCAACGTTCTTTCCAGGTGGTTTATTCGGCATATCTTTTCATAACTATTTTAAATAAATAAAAGCATAACATTTATTTTATTGGATCTCTTTCTTAAACATGTTATAAATTATTTTATCAAAAATTTGCTGATGAAAGTTCTCAAATTTTGTGGTTTCTTTTATCTGGTACAAGAAGTTTTGTTTATTTATTTTGTTTTTTTGCCAAATCCATAATGTTCTGAAAAATTGTGGTCTTCAAAAAAAACCAAGACCCATAACCATTTTAACCATTGATCTTAAAACGGTTGTATAAAACTGGCATTCTAGATATTTCTGAAAGGGTTTGACATTATGCATGAAATTCATATGAAAAAATATCTGAAAAAATAGGCTATTTAAAACGTCTTTTATGTTTTCATTTTTAATAATTTTTTTTTTTTTTTGAACTTGTTTTGCAAATTTCAGTTTTATTAAAACAACCTTTCATAGTGCAATTGTTCAATTTTTATTTTTTTTTATAAATTTTGGAAAACTTTTATTTGGAGTCCTATTTCTTTGAATGACATTATAGGCCCTATAAATATGGTAAAATTTGATTTATAAAACAAATTCTCTATATTTAATCATTTTAAAAATATGAGTAAAATTCAAATTTTGTATTTTAATTTTTTTTTTGAAAAAAATATTGAAAAATTGGGGAATTATAAGCTAAAAAAATTTTTTGATATTAAAAAAAATTTTTTTTGAATCACATGGGCTATATGAAAATTAACAGAATTTGAAAAATAATACGCATTAAAATTTTTTTGATCATTTTATATATCTATAATAAAACAGTCCAGCAATCTTTATGTAAATCAAATTTTTAAAAAATTGACTTAAAATTTGCATTAATAGATAAAAATTTTTTCTCAAAACAAATTTTATTACTAATCAAAACCTCAAAAAAATTGAGAAAATAAAATTTTTTATTTTTTCAAAATGAAACATCCATATATAAATTTATTATTTATATTTTCATTTATATTTAATATTTCATATCCTTTGATACATTTATTTTTATTATAGAATTTTTGCTTTATATTTTCATTTCTTTATTTTGATGTTTTGTTGCATCACACCTTATTGCTGAGATCGTGGTTATGTCCTTGACCTACTGGGCAAATTTAATTGTCCTTATTTACATCTTTGCCAATAATAAGGATGTTTTTGATTATAATTCCATTTGATAATTAATCTTGGTAAAAATACATATATATTATATATTTTTTTCAATAAAAATTCTTGGTGGCTAATGCCATAAGTATATGTTTTTTTTTTTTTATTCATTTGGAAAATCTGACATTTTAATACTAAATATACGTTTGAAAAATATGAAATATTTAAATTTCAAATTTATCCATTCATGCTTATTTAAAATTACCTACATATTAATATTCAAATATATATATATATATATATATATATATATATATATATATATATATATATATATAATAATGGACTCTCCCGTCGGTTTCGACGTATGAGGATCTGACAGCTTATTGATTCAGTTATGAAATTTTGTGCGATAATCTTAAGTGGCATTTAAGACCCGCTAGTGATTTACAAAAGAGGCCACATATGGAGCAAGTGTGAGGATTGTGAGATGAGATCACTGTTAGATTGGCTGACCTTTTAGATCTTGCTCTCGCTTCTTGAAGATGATTCAGACAAGCAGATTGAAAATTGCTGAGTCCACTAAAACACGTTGATCTCCATTCTACCCGCTCCAAGGCTAAGCACTCAAGGGTGTTATGTGGTATATTGACTGCTGACAAGTTGCTTTTCAGCTTGTCTTTGTATCTTAGCCATGGGCGTCCTACATTCCTGTAGCCCTGATCTAACTGGCTGTACATTAGGATCTTGGGTATCCTGTCATCAGACATTCTCAAGACATGACCAGTCCACCGTAACTGAGACTGTGTATATAAAAGTCTCGATTCCTCCAATATTACACCTGTTAAAAAAAAGTTCATAGATGTCCTATCTTGAAGGTTAACTCCACAGATTGCACGCAGACAGCTTTTATGGAAAACATCTAGCTGGCGTATATGGTACCTGTATGGAGTCCACGGCTCTGAGCCATACAAAAAATGATGAAAAAGTACAACAGCTCTGTAAACCCAATTTTCGTATCCAGTCGAATAACCCGCTCATTCCTCAAGCAATGGCGATGTTTTTGCCAAAGCACATATAGCCTTAGCAATCCGATGCATGATTTCATCATCTAAAGTTCCACTGTATTTTGACTTTGCTACCAAGATTTTTTGAAAGACTTTACATAGTTCAGGGCTTTGTCTTCTACTTTCAATGGTCTCTTTGGAAAATTTTTACGTACATCAACCATATTTTATAAAACAATATATATATATATGTGTGTATGTGTGTGTTTCTTTAAATTTAAAATATTTTTTAAAATTAAAATAATTTGAAAGGAAATATTTAAAAGAGATACCAATAATTACAGTCAAGAATATACATTTTCACTATATGGTTTTTATGCACGCCCTGTAATTTCACACAAATATCTTCCACAGTTGAATCAAAATCAGAGGAACCACTTTATTACATTCGAAAATACTTAAAATATTTTATTCTGTTTCTTTCCGTTTCAAGAAGTGCTACACATTAAATTATTATATAAAACAATTAAAAATTACTTCGTAAAATTAATTTTTTACACTCCAATAAAATTAATGAGATACTTACAATGTATGTAAAATTGTATCTCTTTTTTTAGATCAAAAAGACAATACAAGAGAATTTGATCATACAAACTTCTATTTCCATTCGACGCCAGGGAGTACCACGTTTGAAGGCTGCTTTGCATGCTTGCACAGCTTTGTCGATGTCATTCTGAAATTCATCCCAGAAAGAATTTAGTATGTCTTTAAAGAAATATGGTTTCTACATATAACATTGATATTTACATATTGCGCTGTTTCAATACAATTTGTTAGTAGATATCAGAATACCTGAATTGTATTTTAAGAAATAAATAAGAAGCAAAGTACATTAATCAATTATTCTTTTATAGAAGTAGGTAGTTTTTCTTTATAGAATGTAATGAATGTTATTTCCTAAGTATGAATTTATCTAGCGTAATATTGCGGTATCCAGTCGTGAGTGAACTCAATATTCTTGTGGAAGACAAGCTTTCTAACATTCTCGCTAAAATATGTGGTAAGGAAATTGTTATTATAGTTGTGATTAATTTATTAATTATACAATCGAACTTTTTCTTTTCTCAATCATTCATACGCTTTAGGAAACTTACTTTATCCACTATATAAATCTAACAAAAGAATGAAAAAATAGTTGGTCGATCGAAAACGTAATTTTGCGTTCCAACAAAATATCGAAAAAAGTTCAAAAGATGGATAAATTTTATTTAAATTTTAATTTTTTTCTACTGTAAGAGCTTTAACGATGATGATACAGGCTCTAAGGGCTACAAATCATCCTCGAGTCAAAGCGACCGAAATAAGAGGGTGTGCTGATTTCTTTTAGAATGTTTAAAGAAACTTGAGAAACGATATACCAAATATGTTGAACTGGAGTATGAAGATGTAAAAGAACATTTACTTTTTATAGTCCCTTTCTTGGTTGGCTTGAGAACTTTTCAGCAGTTCTCCTAAGAGTGGTCTTTTTAATTGGTTGTAAATACATGTTATTTTTTTCTTTACTTCATCAAAAAATACAGAAATATTTAAATTCTCTCATATATATATAAAATTATTATAAAACACAGAAAAAACAGTATGTGTGTGTGTTATTGTGTGTGTGTGTGTGTGTGTGTGTGTGTGTCTGTAACGTTTATATATTGGATCGGATTTCCTACATTTTTTCAACCGATTTCAACAAAACTTCACAGGACTAATAAAATTACCTTGTGGTGGTTCTAACAGCGCCAAAAATGGGAAAAATATAATTGTTTTTGCACAAAATCAATTTGAAAACACGATTAAGAGACATCGTGAAAATGGAAGGGGACAACTCACATCGGGTTGTTTGTGTGTGTGGGTTCCTTTAAATATGGGAGCGGATTTCCTATATTTTTCAGCCGATAAAACAAAACTTCACTTTTTTTTTTTTTTTTTTTTGGCAGGTAGTGTTTCTTATTCTCTTGCACACTTTTTTTTTATTTTTAACATTCAGAATGCTTTAAAAATTCCATTTACAAGACAATTATTTATAATAAAATTCTATTCAATCAGGAGACTCATAACGATTGAAAACAATGTTTTTGTTTGAGTTTGGGTTTGACCAATTCGTAAAAAAAAAAAAAAAAAAATTAAGACATGCGTGTCCGTCAACCTTAAACAATAATCTAACGATCTCTACTGATTGTACGAATACAAACATCGGAATAAATTCTTTATCTTTAGGGAAAGATAATGAAATCTAAACATACACAAATCCTAACTAAAAAAAAATAACCGGAACAGGAAACTACTTTAAATACACATGGTGTCCAATTTTTTTACTGTATTCAATAAGTAAAAATCATAAATTGTAAAAATTTATTATTACAGAAAGGCTACTAAATGAATAAGATTTGTTAGATCATAATTAATAAACCCAAATAAAGTTAATATTTTTTGTATTAGAAACAACGAGTGGAAAATATATTCAAATCAGAATTCTAATTATGAATCACCACAAGCAAAATATGCAATTTTTTTACTGTATTCAATAAGTAAAAATCATAAATTGTAAAACTAAAAAAATTACAGAAAGGCTACCTACATTTTTCAACCGATTTCAACAAAACTTCACTTTTTTTTTGGTATGTGTTTGTTTTATTGTCTTGCACACTTTTTTCTTTAATTTTACATTCAGAATACTTTAAAAAATTCCATATACAAGACAATTGTTTATAATAAAATTCTATTCAATCGGTAGAGACTCATAACGATTGAAAACAATGTTTTGTTTGAGTTTGGGTTTGACCAATTCGTAAAAAAAAAAAAAAATTAAAGACATGCGTGTCCGTCAACCTTAAACAATAATCTTTGTCAATTTTATTTTTCAGTCTTTAAAGATGAAAAATAAAATTGATCTCTTACTGTTATATTGATGGTGGATACTTGATCTATCTCTTAATATTATCCCCGGGCAAACCGGCTAAATTATATATATATATATATATATATATATATATATATATATGTATGTGTGTGTGTGTGTGTGTGTGTGTGTGTGTGTGTGTGTGTGTGTGTATAAATAAAAAAAACAAGGAGATATATAATCCGGTGTTCTTATAGATTTTTTTATTTTTACAAAATAGTGATCAATGTAAATTTACAGAGCATTAATATTATAAATTAATTGATTTAAAATATGTTTTTTTAAATCAAAACAATATATATATATATATATATATATATATATATATATATATATATATATATATATATATATATATATATATATATATATATATATATATATATATATATATATATATATATATATATATATATTGAATCTTTAACAAGACCGTTTACTGAATTTTTTATGGCTAAGGGCAGATAATAAGACACATTTATCGCCATAGTTTAATGATGTAGATTTAGTCTTTTGTCCAACTGAATAAATACATCTTGAAAAAAATGTTCACTGAAGCAATTTGGTTATTGTATCGATTGTTGAGATATTTTTATTTGCTTATATTCCAGTTAGAAAATTAGTTTCTGAGATATTCAGAAAAAGAAAATAAAATTCTTTCATATTTAACAGCAAATAAGAATTTCAACTTACTTTGTCACCTTCTTGAACATCACAGACTTTTTCATTGTCGCAAGGGTTGTAAACTGGATAGGCTTTGTTACTATGCGAGCTTACAAATTGATTGTTAATGAAAATCTGCAACAAAAGAAAAACAACAAATATTTATTACTTCTAACTTCTAGGTTATTAAAGTACATTAAATTAAAGTACATTAAATCACAACTGAAGTACATTTAGTTACCACTAAATTACACCGAAATATACAAAGTTAAGTAATTTTCTATCTGACTAGAACCTAATGAGTAAGCAAAAGTTTTACTCTGTGTCTATGTTTTTAATAAGTAGAAAATGTTGATAGATATTTTTCGGTTGTATTTTATAATGATCAATTTTGATTTTCATGTGCTTTTCTAAAAATGCATTTTATGTTTAATTTGTAAGCACCAAAGATTTTACAAGTAGAGATAATTTAAAATGTACCAAGTACACATGATCAATTTCCTAATAGGGATTTCTTTGGAGAAAGACATGAATACAATTTATACTATCTCTTCACTATAAGTACGAAAATAATAATAATAATTATTATTATTATTATTATTATTATTACTATAGGTACCTCGAAATAAAAGCGATACTTAAGGTTTAAAATACATTTTTAAAAATGAAAAATCTTCCTTGAATTCCAAGTTAATAGATATAATTCAATATTTCCAATAAGCAAAATATTAAGCTGTATTTCAAAACGGATTTAAATTGATTGGAATGATTTTCTGGAAATCACTAAAAATAGCTAAAATCTTCCATATTTACAAATCTGTCATCACAATGTAATTCTATTTATTAGTTTTTCAAAAATACAATAAACCTTTCTAAAATATTATTTGAGGAACATTAGCTGATTTAAAGTTAAATTAGTCTGATTTTAAACAAATATTACCTACTTTTAGTTTAAAATATTACAGAAAAGCATTTTAACCACGGAGGTGGGTGTCTCATGAGATGTTGACAAATCTCTCGATTGTCTTATGCTTGGGATTTAAATTATTCATCGATTTTTTTCCTCACGACTATTGTACCCATGCTATATTTTATTTATAACAGCAATTAAAAGCTTTTCTAATTAAATAATGTCTTAGTTTTATTGTATTTTTTATTTTACGATTCAGAGCAGATTTTCTATAACTGGAGGTTACTGTTTGATAAAAAATAATTGATGATTTAAATTCTCCAAGGAATTGTGCTTATAACTAATATAAAAATTAAGCGCTATAAAAATAAATTTCTCGAAATTTCATAAGATTAGATAAGTAGAAGGTAACGGAATTAAAACAAGATTTTTACCAAGATTTTCTAAAAAAGCCACATTTCTAAAACAATTTGATTCCTGAAAGTTTGATTAAAATCCGAAAATTATCTGATTTTTGCAAGAATTTCAAAATCAATGTTTTCACTGCAAGAAGACTCTAAAATTTCCCATACTAATTTATAGTTATGCGTCGACACAAGAAAACCAAAATTTTTAACCAAAGTTTTGAAGTTTTTAAAAAATATAATTTAAAAATCCTTTAAACTTTCCTCTTAATAATACCCTAAAGTTTTTGGTAATAAAACTTGTTTTATTAAGTTTAAAACATTTTTCATCATGTATATACTCATTTTTAGCGAATCCTTGCCATTAAGATTATTATTATTATTATTTCACGCGTGTTCGTTTCATTTTATTTCTACTTTTTTCATTACAATTCCCACATACGATTGTAAAAAATGTGAATCTAAAATAAAGAAAAAACCCTCGGATCTTGCTTCTCTTTCCATCAGGATTATGCTATAAAGTTCATTAGTTCTCGATGCTTAAATCTGTATAGATATATAAGAAAAGGTAGTTGACCAAGACAGCCAGTTTCCCAATGAAATGGAATTCGAGTTCGAATTTCAACGGAGATTTTTAACCCATAGTGCATATTGATTACTATAGAACGAAAATCTTCGAGTGGCGAGAGAAACAATAAGATGGAAGAAATACTAGCAAAAATTAATAATAATTTAATAAAATTCTAAATAGTATTACGAAAGATGGTTATCTTCATTTCAACAATTTATAAGGTTTTATTCACTTTTCACAGGTATGTATCACGCTCAGTCATCTATATCCCTGACATGTCGACAAAGTTATTTTCGTTTAATGTTTGTTACTCATGTTATGCAAGAGACGTGAATTGATTTTGTGGCTTTTAAAATGCAGCTAAGATACACGACAGCTATATATGACTCCTCTCATTATTTCTTTCTGTTTTTGGTCGCATTTCTTTTCTATAATCACCCACTTGCTGGGCATGAGACGGTAACGGTCTGGGTGTGTCAACCAGCAAAACGTTTAATTAGACTGGGTAGAATATCAAAGCACAGCATTCACTTACACGCTGCAGATCATTACTTTTGACTCAGTCACCATTGATTGTTAGTCACAAGAGTATGTTCCGTTAGTCAAATAATGTTAGGAAAATAGCTGTTTCAGTGTAAGCAAGGCAGTCATTCCGACTAGACACACGCGCGTGCATACACCCAAACATAGATAGATAGATAGATAGATTTATGGAAACAGAGAGTGTAGATTGATGTGATTCCGAGGAACATTATTTTCATTATTCACGTCGCCTTGGCGTGGTGTCATGGTTAGCAAGATAGCCATTGTTACTAAAAATGAGTTTGATTTTATTGGGTGCTATCCAACTCTTATCTTAGTCACAAGAGTAGGTGACGTCAATGAATTAATCTTAAGAATGACAGAACACTAAATAGCATTGAAAGTTCGCAGAACGTTGGAATTATGAAAGATAATAATGAAAATTGTAGTCGACTAACAAATTTAATTTTACAAAGAACAAGATTGGGGATAAGGAATATGTATATTTTGCTTTATTTCCTATATATAATAATAAATATACTATAAAATTGCAGATAACTGCTGTCGTTGTGAGTTTGATCATTGAATGTTTAATTATTGCATTTATTAACCAAACGAACATATATATATATATATATATATATATATATATATATATATATATATATATATATATATATATATATACTAGTGTACCCGTGCCAGCAAAAAAAAAAATGACCGCAACTGTTAGAAAATTTTAATAGTGAGATGCAATGAAACAAGAGATTTGAAACAATGTGATTCAATAAAAATAAGATACTACAACTAAAATAGACACCAATGAAATATTTAATCCCTTTATTCCCTTTTTATATTTTTAGACGTTCACTGGTATTTATGATTTATTGGCTACTACTGGTATTATACAAAATCGCTTTTTTCTCAATATCTTTTCATGTTAAAAAATTTATGTGTTTAATGTAACGGTGAAATGGAAATATCTCTCGGAAGAAAAAGATTAGCAATAGAACGACAACGACACAAAGATTAACTTGAAGCAAGATGATCACTTAATAGACAAAGGTATTTGAGTGCCTCACACGAAAGGCTTGAACAACTAAGATTGCAATCTAAGAAACATAGGAGTAAATGAACTGATTAATTAAATGGTTCATTTTGCTCGGGAACTAATTTTGTCTAAATGCAGATAAATATTTTATTTTATAGATTATTAAAACGATTAAGGGAAGTAATCACTCATAAATTTACTAATTTAAGTTGATTTAAAAAAAATTCCCACTACAGATGGGACAGGAAATATTTAAATAGACATTGATAATTATTATATGGTTCGATATATATATAGGAATGCTAGTCTCTTCCTCTTATGAAATCATTGAATAAAATTAACTGTTGTATAGGGATAAAGTGTCGTTGCCGACACTGGAGTTTGAATACAGATCACCAGTGAGCAAACACAGGTGATTCCATTTCTAATAAGTAACCCACGTGATCGTAAAGGAAAGGTATATATGGGAATTAGCGTAGCGTCTAAGTGATCGCGATTTTCTATAATATCCTCCATACTATTTCTTTATATTGATCACTCTACGGATTACTATTCGGCGGTTACTATTCAAACAACTATTACTATTGTGAGTATTATTTGTAGGAGTTACTACTAGTATCTGCTAGTCCAAAGTCTCGACTACAACGAGCATTACGAATGTGATAACGTTGACATCACAAAAGTGACAACGCAAAGTCGTCTGACATCTCAAATCTAACATATTCTGTCCTATATAATGCGTCTTTAACAAGAACTTTTTAACTACTTTTCATTCCAGGTTATCCTAAGAATGAGATCTAAACCCATTGCCTTTAATATACGCCATATAAACACGGTTTAATTATTATTTTAATTTTTTTTTTTTTTTGACTTGCATTTGTTTTATGCCGGTCATGACCTAGGGTAAGTAAAGGATGTTATTTTTTGTTGTTTCCACTTAAACAAAAAATATTAAAAAAATTATTGGACAAAGATCTTCGCAAGATATGGGCTGTACTTGTAAGAACTAGTTTTTGGATATCATGAAGAGATGGTGTATCAGGAATTTTGTTTGATTTGTTGTTGGCATCATGACATTTTCCACTGAGCAGTTTTGAAAAAAATCACACATATTTTACATAGATAAAGCCCTTCGTAAGGTATTTTGTATTTCTTTAAGACACGGGCTACCAGGAATCCCTTCAATGTGTCTATTGGAATCTTTTCCAATCTATCCGAGGGCTCCAACTACAACTACATGCTCCTCATGCACCACATTTTTGAGATTTCAATTTCAAGGTCCTTGTATTTTGATAGTTTTTTGAAGATCTTCAAAGATACATTGCAGTCTGCAGGGACTGCAATGACAATAAAGAAGGAACATTTTGTCTTTGTGGTTCTCTAATCACAATGTCAGGGTGATCATTTTTTATTATTTTGTCTGTGTGTATTGTAAAGTCCCATGAAATTATTATAGGTCCTATCTCTGTAACCGGGTCTGGGTGGAGTTCATACCAATTTCTTGTAGTTTCCTTTCCGTAAGCGTTACAGATTTTCCAGTGCATATATTGGCTCAATCTGTCGTGCCGTGTTTTATATTCAGTTGCTACCAAAACCGTGCAACCTGGTACAAGATAGTCAATTGTTTCTGGATATTTATCACAGAATCTGCATTTTTGGACTCAATACAATTATTCACTATGTGTGCACTGTACTTTCTAGTTAGCAAACATTGGTCCTATGCAGCTTCGGTTTCAGCTTCTAACCCTGCACTGTGTACGGGGTTCATCTACACCAGCTTGTTTAATACGGGTAGAGTATTGACCGTGAAGCGGTTTATCTTGCTATCGTTTCTGGATCTTGTGGGTTGCATTTGCTTTCTTTTTTAAGTATTTTGCAGCTTCAGTCGGTGTAGTATGTTTTACTTGTATTTCTTCACCCACTTGAAACTCCATTTTGAACTTGTTGGCTTCCTTTATTACTGAATAAAGTCACTTACTACTTTCATGTTTTTTGACACAGATCATCATCCAGTTTTCTGTAGTGTCTAGGTATCTTTGAAGGCCAATTATTGTAGATTTGTAAGACAGTTCTAGTTGAACTAAACCTCTGCCTCCTTCGGATCTGGGCACATACAGATGATTAACATCAGCCTTGGGGTGATGCATGCGTTGGTAGATGAGAAAATTTCTCGTTTTGGCGTCCATTCGCTTCATGTCAGCTATGGTCCAGTTAAGGATGTTGAAACTGTATTGCACCAGAGGGACAGTCAAGGTGTTTATGGCAAGTATAGAAAGATTCAATAAACATATATATTTTTTCTTTTCTCAATAATTTTGTAGTTTTTAAACTTAATAGTGATTAAATTTGTATTTTAAAATTGCCAGTTTTTAATTTTAATATTAAATTTTATCATATAATTTTATAATTATTGGTTAGTATAAATTATTTTTAATATTACACGTATTTTAAAGATCTGAATAGCTATTATAACATGATTTCGTTTTCAAGCTTTTGAATCTTTCTATACTTGGTTTTTGATTGGTTATTCTAGCTTTTGTAACAATGTTTCCCCCTAGTGTAGGATCGTTAATTAATCTGAAACTTTTAAAAACCATTTATTTTATCTTCAACATCATCACTTGATAAGACACCGAGTGTGTTGAAACAAAATGGCTATTTTTGTAGTGATTTTATAACATACTTATGTTATAATTTTTTTATAAATATATATATATATTCAAAGATTAAAGAACTTCCTGAACCTTTAAAAAAATCGCGTAGTTGAAGCCTATAATTATTAAGGTTAAAAACAGCCATGAAAATGAATTGGTGTGCATAATAATTAATATTTTCATTACATCTTGATAAAAAATCTGAAAGTGGTTGCAATTGATTCAATAAAGGTTTTTCTTAATGAATATATAGTTTAATTAAGATTTGTTAATTATCTGGAAAAAAGAGACAATTTTTTAAAATATTATCTTAGGAGTTCACTTACACAGCCCAGCACTGTATATATATATATATATATATATATATATATATATATATACTTATCAATGAACTGATCATCATCTTGTTATTGGTATGCAACAATGATAGACTTGATGTATGGTCTATGGTTAAATCACGCTCTCATAATTATTAATTATTTAGTGGAAATAAAATTGTTGTAGCTATATCCGTTTGACAGATTGACGTTACTAATTACTTCTTTTACGATTCAGCTATACAGGACATTTTCGTTTCCTTGTTCCGATGTAACAGTAATTAACAGAAACATTGATGGAAACAATCGAAATAATCTGATCTGTTAGCATAAAGATATTTAATTAAAATTTATTTTTATCATTGACAATTGCAGAGAAGTTTTACTATTAAGAAAGGCAAATTAAAAATAAGAAATAATTTAAAAAATTAAACCTTTCCCGAAAAAAAAATAATTTGGAATATTCCGCTATTTACCGGCGAGATTTCTAATCTGTGGGAATATCATCTGAATCTGAATATATATAAAACTTTTCCTTTTGTGTCTGACAAGTTTGAATCTATAAGTCTGTAGATTGATACATTGGATTTCTTACGAAAAACATGACTGAAAGAAGACCTTGTGTTGTATTTTACATTTTATGGAAAAAACAATTATGACTACAAACAAAAAGTCTGATAGGAACTGTCTGGACGCTTAACTGTGCAAAAGTGAATTTTATCGGAGTCAGAAAACTGACCAAACTTCGGATTGAAAAAAAAAATGGAAAATATTTTCGTGTATTTATCTGGACCGGTAAATTAGGAAAGTTGAATAATGAACAAGTCCCAATTTATAGTTGTAGAACTTCAAAAGTTATGCACCATGAAAAGAATTTTAATTAGATTTTAGGATGCTAGACATAGTTTTGAAGTGACTCTTAGAAATATTAAAACTAATAGGGATTCGAAAGTAGGTAGGAACTATATGAATTACAATACTGCTAAAATGAGAAAAGTTTGAAACTCTTGTAGCAAAGGATTTTGAAGTGAATAAATAATTTTTTTAGATATCAGACAGTCTGTCATGCCTATAGTTGTAAATGTTATGGAATAGTTTCAAAATCCTTCCGGGAAATAATGGAACGAGTAGAAATCTAAAAGGAGATAGAAATGTTTGGGGTCATAGAAAAGACCGCAAGACTGGTGACTGGTGATACTATGTTTTCACCAGCGAATATCAAAGATTTCTATAGCGATTAATATTAGTAGTAGCAGTAACACTTTTGAACGATGATTTCATTGATTCAGGAATACAGCCTTTTTCTAAAGTTGACTTCTTCGTCCAAAAAAACGTTAATAACAATGTTATTAGAGAGTAGTGAATAATATTTTAACAAATTTGAAAAGCAATCCGCAAAATAATGGTGAAAGCTTAAATATTAAAAATTCAATAGTCAATATGAACTGAAAAAGCATGTATAGGGGAAAAGTGCCTGGAATAAAAAAAAAATAATAATACTTACTTTGTTGTGCTTGATTTCGGGATTCCTGTTTGGTGGTGGAATTCCTGCCATTCTTGAAAGATTTTTGACTACAAAAACTCGTGCCGATAGGTTCTGGAAGTTAGAAGAGTGAACAGCTTGAGAACTGTTACGATCTTTTCAACTTGGCAATCCAGAAGTGGATTGTTTCGGCAGTCCGTGGTTGCGTTTATATCTCTCCAGCTGGGTGCGTGACTCATGAAGAGCCTTAAATGCACGTGTATAGGTCAGCGTTTAACATTCTAGCTCCGCCTCATTCTTTTTGTTCATTACTTGTTGATTGAAAGAGAGAGAGAGAGAGAGAGTGTGTGTGTGTGTGTGTGTGTGTGAGAGAGAGAGAGAGAGAGTGAGTCCGAGGAGCGTAATATTGATTGGTAGTTGAGAATAAAATGACCCCGCCCTCATACAAAAACAAAAAGAAACGCATCTGTTTGGCCAACCTACTGATCAAGTTTCAGAATTTATTTTACAATTTTTTTGAAAATGATATATTATCCAAAACTTTAAAACAGTTAATAGTACAGTTTGTTATAAATGCAAAACAAATTGCATTTGTAAAATAGAAATTACACTTGTAAAATCTTGATTCTTGGCAAAGAATTTGCAATGTTATCAGTCTTGACCTGGTATCTCGACTTCAATCCTTTTCCCATTACCCTAACATAGATCCCCTGTGCCTTTTCGATAAATAACTTAATAGCAATTGTTCTGGCGTGCTTTTCTCTTTGGTATCTCGACTTGTTGAGTCTAAGTATAATTCTAGATTGGGAGCTCGTTCTCATCATTATTCTATTGAAACTGTAAGTTCTATTCTAATTCTATTTTTTTTCTCTCGTGCTTCTATCCTTTTTCCAGTTTCTTCTTTTCTTTTAAAAATTAAAATTCACCTCAAATTGTCATCTTCTGTGTCATTGAATTCTGTTTTTTCTTTTATCCTATATCCTTTGTAACGTTTCTCAGTTTTCTTTACTCTCAGTAACACTTTGCGGTTTAGTGGCTTTAGCGCCTTGCTTGAGGTGAAATGATTAAAAAAAAGAACTACAATATGAAAAAAATAAACTACTGCAGAGTAATTATTTGACAAATTTAAAAGCAAATAAAATACAATGAGGAATGTAAATTGTTCTCAGACATTTTGGGAATTAAATGGACAAAGTGATTAAAGTAAACAATTCAGACCTCATGAAGTGAGAAATATGTTTGAAATTTTTTTAAAAATCTCTTAATATACTGTGGATTTATACACGATGGATAAAAATTTAAGATAAAATCAACATATCTTACTATAATGTTAATTAGCATGTTTCAGAAATTGCTGTGTATGTGAATATCTACCTACAATCGCCAACCTAATTAAGAATAAGCCATCTTGCCATATAGAAACAAATCACCAAGAGATATACAAAAAGAAATTGTATTCAACGAATTAAACCTGACATTGTAAGCCTTTGTAGAAGACAGTAGTTGTTAGAACGTGCAATACATAGATGTTACATTAATATTTTGTATGTTAAAATTCAATACATTCAAGCTTTCCAATTATTCAGATTGGCGCAAAATGTTCTCCGTCGCAGCTTTCTGTGGAATTTGGCTTAATAAATGCGCACGCATGTGTGCCTGTGTGTTGAAAAGTGCAACCGGTTGTGAATCAAACAATAGAATCATCAAATTAATTGTCAAATTTTTGTTGTCATCATTTGTCAAGCTAATTTTCTTAGGAAAGCAGTAATTTCATCTTCCTTATACCAGAAGACTTTCCATTCATTTTGACTGTTGTCATCTGGATGGTCTCAATTCTTTCTCTGGTCCTTCGTTTGCCTAACACTTTTTCGGGTTTCTCCCAAGCATTCCGATAGTAATAACTACGAATCTTTTGTTTTTATTTTATGTTTCTCAAGCTAATGTCGAGATATTTATCCAAATTTTCATTTTCTCAGAAAACCAATCAGAGAACCTATGACAATCAATGTCCATCACTGAAAGTGGGTTCAATGAGGAAGGGAATATTGGAAATTGATCTTGAGGAAGGTCGCCTAGTTTAATGAGTATTGTTTTCTCCTTAATAGAGTGGAAAAGAAGGTGTGCGTTGTTATACTAAAAAAACAATGACACATGATTGTACTATAGGAAAACAAGGCACTGAAAACAGTATGATAGTATAGGCAACATTCTACTGGGAAATACAAGTTCGTATAACTCATGTTCAAGATACTTTGTTGCGCATCCCTTACTTCAATATTATTGACTATGACCTTAGTATTTCATAGCAGAACGTTAATTAAACTATCATGCTGTTTCCATTGCCTTTCTATCTCAGTCTTTCATGTCCACGATGTTCTAGGATGAGAGTGACATCTTTCAGCAGAACTATTCGCCCTGCTACACTGCATAAATTGTACAGAAATGACTTCAAGAACATAAGAATGTGACCATTAAAATTCACTGATCTCAATCACATTCAGTACTTACGGGATGTGTTGGACCAAGTTTTCTGTACAGAAATTCTACCACGAAACATAGAGTTGAAGGATCTGCTGTTAACATCCTAGCATCATGATAAATCTGACCCTTAATGCCTAACAAAATACGCTGGTCAGTAAATTGTTGATGATTAACGCGTTTAAAGGCAAAAAGGTGAGCAAACTTTTGTAAACAAAGTGCTCAATATTAAAAGATTATATAGTAACGATAGGTAATAGATAAATAGTCAATTCTTCTGAAGTTTTATCTTTTTATTTAGTTATTTATCTCTCTGTATATAGCTTGTGGTCAAAATTGTTACATATTCCCAACCGACACCCACAGTCAAGCCCAAGTATCAGGATTTCGAATAGTGAGTCTGAAGACAGACTTGCTTTTCACTAAGATCGAAAACAAACTGATGAGCAACGTTACAAGATTTTGAATCTATTATTATTATTATTATTTATTTATTTATTCATTTATTTTTCATAACATTTATTGTTCAGTTGAAAATACTAATCGAAATAATAATTTAATATTATAAAGTTACGATTTCCATTCCAAGAGTTGATACGCAATGGAGCATTCATCGTTCAACTGGGGCACAGTATAAAACTGCTTACTTGACAAAAAAATTAAAATGAATGGAGAACATCCTCGCGTATAAATTATAGATTAAATTGTATTAAACGCGTTGTTGAAAATGGAATAACTTAAATTGCAAGTGTCGCGGTGAACATTTTATTTTCTGCGTGATTTTGTCTTCTGTTTTTCTTTCTCAGCAAAAGAAATCCTTTCTCTTCATACATATGAGAAACCTGAAAAGGGCTGTGGAATTGATTAGTCAAAATGGTGGTACAATATGAATAAAACAATGTGTTCACTGTTCGAATAATTCTTGAAATGACTCTTCTCAAAATTATAGACATTATCTAAACATTTTAAAAAGGAATAATCTTAATGAATTTTATTTTACTGTTTTGTTGAACAAGATGAGAAATCAATTACGAAACCTGTATCAAATATGATCACTCTCTATCATTTTGTTTAAAGTAATAACATCGAATTCAGTGCAAAATTTTAAAGAAGTATGAATCTTGGTCGGCTCAAAATGTATTTCATTTAAATGTACAAGCTATTAGCTACGCAGCCACGTTTTTATATTCACATGCGTATATGTAGCTGTTCATCTAATCAAACACTGCTAGTATATGGCACTCAGGGAAAATGAAACTTACTATATGAGCAAATGATTTGTGAAACCAGTCTTATAACCAGAATTCTATAAATTCGCTGACTTTGGGGGAAATATTACGATATGCTACAATCATGGGTGTATAAGGATTCGTTTTTATTAATCAAGGATCTATTTTAACCTTTGAAGGTCCTTTGTTAGACATAGGCATTGCCCAGATTCATGGGGATGAATAGGCCATTACCCTGCCGCATGTTGGTAGAGGCGGACATGACATGTTTGGGCAATAATGTCTGTTTTCAATTGATGAACGCCCAAGGGTATTTGCGTAAACCGACTGGAAAATTGAACTCTGTTATCCATTAGACCAGCTGCATATCCAAGTTTACATCATCTGGTATTCCCAAGTGGTCATCAGTCTAGATACTGACCAGGTTCGACGTTGCTTAACTTCGGTGATCTAACATGAACCGGAGTTTCAACGTGATATGATCGCAAGCCCTTCATTAATCGATGATATATAAACGCAAATCACAAATTATGTAACTTATTGTTTTCTACCTTTCTTAATAACTAAAACAATTATTTTATCAACAATTTTCCAACAGACACTGTATCATATTTCACTCCGTGTTTAATATTGCCATACTGTTTAATCGTGTTTGGTACATTGTATTCTTCAGGTGTATCTTCATTCATCTGAAACTACTGAAGGAACGCTTTGAGAATATGTTGTAGCAGGATCGGAAGATTCTAGCGACTTTGATGAAGATTGGCAATACACCGCGAAGGTCATTCATTTGCTGTCTCCTAAAAATGTGAGGAAAAACTATTTATTTCATTTTTAAACATTGGGGAATGGAAAATTTTAAGATAATTTATATAAAGATACAGTTGCATAAAAATTATATTACACAGATAAATAATGAAAGGAAAATGCAGAAAAAAAGAAGTGGAATTATCTTTCAGGTTAAATATCACCTCACCTCCTCTAAAGACTATAACCGGTTGGACGGGTGAGGTAGCTAAAACAGATAGAAATATAATGTAGATTAGCCTGTTCACAAAGGCATATCAAAAAGCAAATGTTAAATCTTTTCTTCAACTGTTATATTTGATATCTAAGATACGCATGGAGAATTTTTTAAGAGACACTGGTCAAAACCAAATTGACCATTTAGACATATTTGTATCCACGTACATGAATGACATGAATGACCATTTAGACATATTTGTATCCACGTACATGAATGACAGTAACTTTTAAAATTAAACAAATAAATAATAAAGCAAAAAAGTAGAGAAAAATGTATACCAACATTTACAAACCTATGTGGAGAGAATCTTTCCATTTGGACAAAAGTCTCTATTTTTGGTAAGTTAGTGCCTATTAAGAAGTGGAGCTGTCATTGTGTCTTGGATTATAGGACTTAAGAGTTATCTGCATATTTTCCTCTAACTGACTTTTCAACTTTTCTTAGAGCCATCTAATATGCTTGGACCGAAAGTCTAGAATTTTCTAAAATGTTGTCACGGTTAATATCGGAAATTTCGCCGAAGTGCAATCCTATTCATGAGCTCACTGAGTTGAAAAATGTATTCTTTGTTACGTGCTGCTTGTGTACAATGATTAAATAGACTTAACATCGATGTTTTATACTTTGCATCTGATTAATAGTTTATCCAGTTCTGATGATAATAAACACTTTTCGTATTATTTCTAAACCGATTTGCCGTTTTCTAATTTTCAAAATTGAAAGTGTTTCGATGTATAAACACTTTACAAGCTTGGCAATGTCAAAGATAAGCCACTTCACACTTGAAATCTCCTAAACTAGAATACTTATCAAATTTCTTTGGTTTATATTATGACAGAATTAACTGATTTGGTCAATTTTCAGTAATAGTATTCTGCAGAGCCAATAAATATAAATTGGTTACATTTCGGTCATCGTTATTTTCGTCATTTGAAAAATAATCAGATTCGGAGAAACATTTTATGTAGAGACTATTTTTCTACCGTATCCTGATTAGAATTAATACTCTCTTTTTCTTTATCGGAAAACAAAAAAGCACTGTGTCGGTTGAGATTCTTCAATCATGGATGAAAAAGTTACACCCTGACCGGCATGAACAGTTTTAATGTTTTTCTTTATAAACAGTCAAATTGTTTGCCATATTCTGCACATTCGATGTGTTGGTGTGTTTTTGTTTTTTATGATGTAATTTGTTATACTAGAGATTTCATTAGCGTCTACGATACGGACTCGGGGATAAAAAAAAACAAAAACATGTAAAGACTGAAACTAATACTTCCGACTTTAAAAACTCAAATGAAATAAAGTAAATCAAATTAAAAAGTGAAACGTTTTGATGTAATTAAATCAATCAAAATATTTCAGTCAAATCTATTTTATCACTTTGGACGGATATTATTGCTTGTAATGTATTACATCATATTATATTTTTCAACCGCTGAAAAATACTAAAAACACTTTTTCTAGCCAATTATCACTTATTCCATAAATTAATTAAATTGTTAAATTCTAGATAGTGTCAATATTATAAATAACTAACACCCTACTCTAAATTTTAACGGCTTTTTTCCATTGGAAATTGTCAGATTTTGATTAAATTTTCAGGTATTATATACAAATGAATGAAATTATTTTAGAAATGTTTTCTTTTTTTGAAAATCTTAATAAAAATATTTTTTTAACATCTGTTACTCCACTTATTTAATTTTATGAAATTTTGAGAAATTATATTTTGTCCCGCTTAATGTTTAAATTAGTTAAAAGCAGGACTCCTTGGAGAATTTAAATCATCAATTTCTTTTTGGAAAACAGAACCCCTAGTTACCGAAAATCTGATCTGAGTCGTAAAATAAAAATGACAATAAAACTGAGACATTATTCCAATAGAAAAGCTTTCTATTGCTTTCATGAAGATATATTTTGGAGAATTCAATTAATAATGAATTTTTACAAAAATTGTTTTCATTTTTTTTCAAATTTTAATTAGAATAATTTATAAAGTTTTAAATCTTATAATTTTCTGTATTACTTTGTTCCAGATAAGTGATATTGGTATTTAGTAAAAACTATATTTACTAATCATAAATGAAAAAAGCTTATTATGATTCATTGACCTCAGTATTTTTGTAAATACGCACGTTCATACACGACATTATCAGAAAATAAGAACAATAACTATAATAAATTTAAAACCAAAAGTATCTAAAATTCAATAAAACATTAAATTACGGAGAATATTTTCCTAATTTTTTAAGATTACTGGATAGATAAAAAAATATTATATATAAATGACGCTCACGTTATATACCGCTAGTAAATTTTACAGATATGAACCCTTTATTTCGCTGGATGGGGTAGACTGTTCTAGTTCCACGTCTAATGGATGTCAGATATCAATTATCTCCTGTTAATTCACCTCTCCAAGTTCGCCACTGTCTTTACTAGGTTTTGAACTCACAACTCTTTGGGTCCTATCACTGGATCTATCCAACGTCTTTATCCACTGTGCCATGTGTCCTTAAGAACATCTGCGTATGAATTTCTGGGACTTAATGTCTTCAGCAACCATTTTCACCAGTGCAATTTTTGCTGTTATCATTGCATTTTTTACCAGAGCTCATATTGCAATTTTCGTTGTTATTATTGCTTTTATCTGAGACTCCTTATTACTGGTTCCCATATTGTATTCATTCCTATGCTTGGTCGGCCCAGGAGATTTTTGTGGCTTAGCATATGTGCTGATTCCTTATGTCTGTCAGTCAAGCTATCAACCTTTCAACACTATAAATAAACAGCTACCACCGTGTTAAAATGCATTTCTGCGATATTTTAAACTTAAAGTTAGTAATATTTATTTCAAATCAGATTGATTAAACTTTAAATCAGCTAATATTCCTTAAATAAAGTTTCAGAAAAATATATTTATTTTTGAAAGATTTTTCAATAAAGTAGAATTACATGTGATGAAAGATGGCTAAAAATAACGCTATAATCAACGATTTTAGCAATTTCAAGAGAAATTTTTTCCAGTCAATTTAAATTAGTTTTGAAATACATGAAAGTATGTTGCTTATTGTAACTATTAAATTGAATCTATTAGCTTGAAATTAAACTAAAATAAAAGAATTAAGAAAGATTTTTCATTTTTAAAAGTTTATTGCAAACATTAGGTGTCCACGTTTCTGTGGTGGTGCCTACATTAATACCTAAAGGTTGATTTTATTACTTTAATTGTAATTTGCATATTTTGAGAATCTAAATGTAAATGACAATCTATTCGATAATCTTAGCAAAAGAAGAATAACTCTCGCGGAGGACTCATTTAATCAATTCACCTGCTTTGTAATGCTGTTACATGATTACATAACTTGAATGACTACGTATTCTTTTATTACGTGGATCTTTGCTATTAAAATACTAGTTTATATTTACTTTACTAAAATTGTCCACTCTTTCGAGTGTTTTAGATTGTACCATTTTATATTTTTACTATAATTGTCGTCTCTGTTATCAGTTATTTTTCTAAGAAAATTTCATTTTTGTAATAAAAAACACCAATGAATCATTTTTTTTTATTTTCAAAGAAATAAGCACTTATCTATTTTTTATTTTATTTTTTATGTAATGTTTTTAAAAATTTAAACTCTTGGTTCAATTGTTTTATTATAATTAAAATAATTCCGTTTTATTATTTGTAGCAATTAAAACTCGTTTTCATCAAAAAACATTATGTAGTGAAATAAAATGGTCCCTAAAGTCGTGGTAGTATGCCTGCCTCATTTAGGCATATCGATTAAGTGAATACTTAACTGGATATTGTTTCATAAACTTTTTGTAACTGCGATTGTAGTTGTTTTGATCTTGAGGAACCTGTGTATGATCTTTCTACTGATGTGATACTCTATAATACATCACAATTAATTTGGAGAAATAAGTGGTGTTATGTTGATTCCTGTAATCCCCCTCCCCCAGAAAATAATAATAAATTATGGGAACAAATTTAAAAAGTTGCTTAATGTTTATCAAGATTTTTTAGTGTGACTAATTTAAAAAGTTGCTTAATGTTTATCAAGATTTTTTAGTGTGACTAATTAATTTCCCATCACTTTTTATTTGTTCTTCTTCTTGCTTTGCCTTAATGTTCCCTACAGTTTTGTTTGAAAATGTGTGGGAGGGGTGTTCACGAAAATCGTGCCTTCAGTTCATTACACTTATGCTTACAAGTAGATTCGGTTTATCAAGTAGAAAAACTTAGCTTTTAAGTTGGCTAAGAATATAAAAACAAAATAATCGCACACTAAGCTCAAATTTTTCCTTGACTGTGTTTGTGTTTTTGTTTGTTGTTTTTTTTTTGTTTTTTTCATATAGCTACTCGTTACCTAACAATTTGCGGACTTGTCTTCAAAACTAACACAAAAACAATTAACCTTTTGCGCAAGATTATTTAAGTGAAATATCAGCC